TTCGAAAATTCACCAACATAAGGCCACGGGGGTGATTGTTGCACGCCCATGGCAATGCCCATGATGATGCACTTCTGACGCCACGTCAGGGTGACTTTTAACACCCCGCGATCCGTAAATATCACGGGTTATTTGCGCGTGTATACCAGACGACTCACCTGCGTCGAATACTGAGTCCCGTAGTATTGGTAAGTGCCGCAGTACCCCAAGCAGATCTGTGGCCGGTTGGTTGCGTTGGAGGGGAAGCCACATTGGTCACATTGGTCGTTCGAACGAGGAGAGACAAGTCAATTGGGAATAGCGTGATAGTTTGTTGGGTGGCGGTGGCGCGTTGATGCAAGGGCTACGTATTTCGAACGCTGGTGGCAATGACCATGCAGTGACAAACCGTGAACATACCAACAGCAGTAAGGCCACGTTAACGCTCGACATAGATGACATCATCAACAGCTCAACCCACGACCCCGAAACGTATCCCATCCGTCTTGCTTGCGGACGCCCCTCCGAGGTCATGTCGTCAGCGGTAGCCACCAAGTCGAAGATGCGGCTGTAGCAGGGGCTAGTTCAGCGTGACTTCAGTGGCATGCAGGACGTTACTTGGCGCCGTTAAACACGGAAGATGGGCGTCATCGTGGTGGAGGTGCGGCGTCAGGGAGCGGATATGTATCACGGTAGCAGCAGACCTCGAGATGGGAAAATCTGGCGTGCAAACAAGCAGGCCCAATGAGTCAGACCATGGTATCGAGAAACAAACGAACGTCCATCCGAAAATCCCCTGCGTTTTCTCAGATCGCGTCACGCGCCGGTGTCTGGGACAGGTTGTGCGTACTCGGTTGCAAGCGCGAGGCTCCGACTACAGTACCAAAAGAATGAAACTAGCGAGAGAAGCTGACGAGGACCAAACAAGTGGACAATTGAATCGCTGGTGGATAAGCAGTATCAGCCCACGTTTTCCACGTCACTAGTGTGGTCGAAGCAGGCGCCCATTCGCTGGTCTTCGCCGAACCGCGTGACAACCATACCATTACGTGCCTTTTGCATATAAAATATCATGTATGCGGCACACTATCTGCGCACAGGCCACGACGCCTATTGACTAATGCATGGGTTTCGCGCCGGTGCACACAGCAGCAAACGAAAGCGTATGACACCGGCATGATCCGAGGCACGTACTCTAGGTGATTTGGACAATTTACCTCAACTTGCAGTTCTGACACCAGGCTAGGGCGACATTAACATCTCGCGATTCGTACATGTCACGGGTTCTTTGCGCGTGTATACAAGACGACTCACCTGCGTCGAATACTGAGTCCCGTAGTACTGGTAGGCGCCACAGTACCCCAGGCAGATCTGTCGCCGTTTGGTTGCGTTGGAAAGAAGCCAAACTCATCAGAAAAATAATATTAACTCATGCCAAATTCATCACAAAATCACGGTGAGACTCGAACGCATCCTTGGGCAAACTCTTCGTAAGAAAGTCTGCACGCTGATACGGAGACGGCACGTGGATCACCGAAATCTCCTTCCTCTCTACCAGTTCCCTGAGAAAATGGTGCCTTACGTCAATTAGGTTCGAGTTTGAGTTCGAGATGGGGTTCTGCGCTAGTTGAATCGCCCCCTAGTTGTCCTCAAAGACTGGGATGCACGGCATGCTGACCTTCGGCAAAATAAATCGCCAAATCTGCCTAAAAAAAAAATCTCCTTCACTGCATCGCCAAGCGCGACATACTCTGCTTCTGTGGTCGACAGCGTAACGCGCTTCTGCGTTCTGGAAAACCAAGACACAACGCCTCCTCCGCATGATACTATCCCCCCGGTAAGCCGGTCGCCCCGGTGGTCTAGTTGGTAACCTCGAAACCTTCCAGAGGTCAGGTTAGGGGTTCGAATCCCGGCGTAAGCGAGCTTTCCTTGCAAAGCGAGTTTTTCTCTCGCTTCCGCTCATGGCCTAGTGGATAGCGCTAGTTCGTGTGTCACACAGGGAAGAGAGTGCTGAACTCTTCTCGCATCAAAAATCGTAGGAAAAGTACCGCACGAGGGGAGGGTAGAGAGGGGCTCTTCTGTGTGACCACGGGTTGGAGTAAACGACACTAGTGCCGTGAGCGCTGATTTGAAGTGAAGACAAAAAAAAAATCCCCCCTGATACCGACCTACGATCTGCTGCCTTGCTCGCAAAGTCCGCATCAGCGTACCCCTGCAAGCTGAATCCTTCTACCGTACCTCTCTGAAATGAAACATCCATGTAACTCGTCCTCTTCGCTTACCCTAATATACCCATCGCTGCATCCCAGTGCACCTGCTTCGGAGATGCGCAAAGTCTAGCTACTGCCCTTACGCGTTCGCAACGTCTGGCCTAGTCTGAGTCGCCAGCCACATCAAAAACCCTACCAGCTCACGAAACGGAAAATCTGTCGCCTCTTCATCCGCATCAAAGGTAGAACGCTTCACCCCCGAAGACATCGGAACGCTCTTACCCCCTGCTACTCCATACTCTGCTGCTAGCTCATCCATGAAAGTCTGCTGAGAAATCGTCAGCCTACCAGTCTCCTTGCTTCTCTCGTAAAGGCACCCAGAATACCATCTCAACTCTCCCAGGTTCTTCACCGGCACGGACTTGTCAAGGTCGGCGTCAAAAGTGTCACATCTCTCCCTCTCTCCCACAGCAAAAATATCATATACATGTACTACCAAAATCAAAACCACACACCCCCCTTCAATCAATCGAAACACACAAGCATAGGCCATGCACTGCTCAAATCCCAACGCAACCAAACACCTGTTCAGCATTGCATGCCACTGCCTAGATGCCTGTCTCAAGCCATACAGACTCTTGCCTAGTTTTACAATCATTCCAGATAGAGCTCCACATCCCTGCGGCAATCGCATGTATACGTCTTCTTCCAACTCCGAACGCACAAAAGCTTGCTCAATATCGAAATGACACAAGTCGAGGTTCAATTCGCACGCCAACGCTGCCAACATCCTAACACACGAAACAGAAACGGTAGGGGCGTACAACTCTCCAAAGTCAATGTACTCTCTCTGCATATCACCTCTCCTTATAAGTCTCGCCTTGACCTTAGTGGCCCATCCAACCTCATCTGCCTTCCAATTGGATACCCACTTCGCGTTTATCGCGTTCTGCACTAATTGCTACTTCGCCGGAGTAAAAGTCCCCGCTTCCAGCAACCCGAAAAACTCCCTTTTCATCGAGTCGCCCCAGAAGTGCCGGTTCTCCGACGCCATGGCCTCGTTGTAGCTCTTGGGGATGCGAAGGTCGCTGGCCTGGCAGTGCGGGAGATCAGGGCGTTGCTTCGGCGGGCGCTGGTTGCGCAGCATGGCATCGATGTCTTCCCGGTCTGCGAGGAGCGTGGCACATACAAGTGGTAAGCCCCCTCCTCCAGCCCCCAGGCCCACGGCTGCGAGCGCTCCCCCCTGCGCTCCGGTCTCCGCTCCCCCCGGCTCTCCGATCCCCGCTCCCCCCGGCTCCCTGCGCTCCTCCTCCACCGCGCGCTGGGCCTCCAGCATCGATACCAGAGTGTTCTTGTCCAGCATCGAGATGAGCCCTGTGCTGTGCTTCGTGCCCGATCTCGTGCGGCCTGGTAGCCGCGGGTACTTCATACCCTCGGTCTTCTTGCCCGGACGAAGCTGCCGCATGGCGTGAGCCGAGAGCGGGGGCAACGCGGGGCCCGGCGGCGGCGGCGGTGGTAACGGCGGTAGCTGAACTGGAGATGGGGTCGCCGACGATGACGGCGAAGCGGCAGAGGGCGGCTGGCCAGGAGCGGGTGCGGGCGACGGCGTGGGCGTGGGCGCTGGCGGCAGCTGTGCGGCGGTCGAAGGCGTCGGGGCTGGGCCGAAGTTGATCGAGACGACCGGCGTGAACGGGGGAGGCGTCGGCGCAGCGGGGAAACCAGCGGAACCCCCCTCGCCGGCTGACGCCGACGTCACCCACGACACGTTGTTGGTGTAGACGACGCGTCCGGTGGAAGCCTTGAGGACCTTGACGGTGCCGCTCGGGTGGTTGTCGCCGCCGTTTAGGTAATAGCACAGGGTGGCCTGGTCGTCGAGCTTGGTGCGGCGATCCTCACGCATGTAGCCGGACTGGAAGAACGGCCGCACGCGGAACGGCCCCTGCTAACCGGTGAATAGCTCGTGCGGAGAACGACGCCCGGGGTTGGCCCTGGTCGCCGACTGATTGAGAGCGTCGGCGGCCCACTTCGCAGATTACAACCAAAGACGGTCACCGCGCGGGTCGAGGCCGGTGATGGAGGCGTAGTCGACGTTGGGCACACGGGCAGCGCCGCGGCGAGCGGCCATGCCGGCCTTCATGATGCGCCAGATGGTGCTCTCGACGACGCCGTTGTACTGCTGGACGCCAGGCGGGGTGAACTCGACGCCGATGCCGTTGTCGTCGCAGAAGCGCCGGAACTTGGCTCGGGTCCACTCGGTGCTGTTGTTGATCCGGAAGCACTCGATGCGGCCGAGGTCGTACCGCCCCACGTCCGCCAGCAGCCGTTTCGTAGCCGCCAGCGCGTCGGACTTCCGCCGGAGACCGTAGACCTTGTTCCACCGCAAGGCGCTGTCGAGCGCGACGAACAGGTAGAGGTTGGCGCCCAGGGAAGGCGCCAACGGTCCACACACGTCCAGGNGATTACAACCAAAGACGGTCACCGCGCGGGTCGAGGCCGGTGATGGAGGCGTAGTCGACGTTGGGCACACGGGCAGCGCCGCGGCGAGCGGCCATGCCGGCCTTCATGATGCGCCAGATGGTGCTCTCGACGACGCCGTTGTACTGCTGGACGCCAGGCGGGGTGAACTCGACGCCGATGCCGTTGTCGTCGCAGAAACGCCGAAACTTGGCTCGGGTCCACTCGGTGCTGTTGTTGATCCGGAAGCACTCGATGCGGCCGAGGTCGTACCGCCCCACGTCCGCCAGCAGCCGTTTCGTAGCCGCCAGCGCGTCGGACTTCCGCCGGAGACCGTAGACCTTGTTCCACCGCAAGGCGCTGTCGAGCGCGACGAACAGGTAGAGGTTGGCGCCCAGGGAAGGCGCCAACGGTCCACACACGTCCAGGTGAACACGCCCGAGTGGCTTGGACGCTCGCGCTCCCGGCCCCTTCGGCGCCGACGACCTCTTGCCCTTCGCCTTCATGCAGTCCGAGCATGGTTCCAACGTTCCCGTGAGAGTGATGCCCCTCTGCCGGGCAGTTTCTCTCGAAAGGGGTTCACAAGCGTGGGCAAGGGAACGGTGGAAGCGGTTGATGTCGACGGACTTATCGGTCGAACCAATGGAAAACGGGGACGCACCAGGACCAAGAGCAGCCACACCCACGTCAAAACCAACACCACCATCAATTCCATTCATAACACCAGCCGCGATCGCAGCTTCATTCTCTGGCATGAACGCGGGGAAAAAATCTTGGTACAGGGTTTTGTCATACCCGTCCATAAGCAGCTCGTCGGTGAACACACTCGTATCTCCTAGATCCATACCCGGAAAAGTACCCACACACCAGTGTAGTACCTGCGAGTGAGAGCGTCCCGCCCGCCGGCTCTGCGGACGTAGTACCTTCCTCGGCGTCCGAGTTTGTGTGTGTGGGTACTTTTCCGCGTATGTATCTTGGAGATGCGAGTGTGCTCACCGACGAGCAGCTCATGGATGGCTATGATGACACCCCGTATCAAGATTTTTTCCCCGTGTTTATCCCAGAGAGTGACGCTGCGAATGTGGCTGGTGTTTTGTTGTTTTGCATTGATGGGGGTGCTGATTTTGACTTGGGTGCGGCCGCGCTTGGCCCTGGTGCGTCCCCGTTTGCTCTTGATTCGACTGAAAAGTCCGTTGACATCAACCGCTTCCACCGCTCCCTTGCCCACGCTTGCGAGCCTCTTTTGAAAGAAACTGCCCAGCAGAAAGGCATCGTGCTCACCGGCAAGCTGGAACCGTGCACGNAGGCATCGTGCTCACCGGCAAGCTGGAACCGTGCACGGACTGCATGAACGCGAAGGGCATGCGAGGGTCGGTGCCGCGGGGGCCGGGAGCGCGGGCGTCCAAGCCACTGGGGC